AAGCAGGGAGCGGTAGCTGAGGGCGGTGCTGACATAAGCATACAGATCTAAAGTTTGTCCTTGTTAGTGTGATTCAGCCCGACTCTGGGTTCTGGACTGCTGGGCTGTGAAATGTGAAGGTACATTTGGCTGCTTTCGCCTCCATCACTAAAAATCATCCACTTCAGCTTCAGAGGGTTGTTGCTGCGGCCCTCGAAACCAGCCTCCAGTTCTCAAAACATAGGTGGTCCCTGGAGATCTGCTTTTCAAGTGTGTTCTATCGAGAATGAAAGCATAAAATACGCCTGGAGTCAATCAGCGCTCGCTAAAAGGAAAGCAGCGAGGGAGAAAATAAAAAGTTGCTGCATTACCTCTCATTAAGGACATTTAAAATGCATTAAAACACACCATTCCCCACAAGGTGCAATCATCATTTTCCACATTACTGTTATTAATGCTGAGCATTCTGGGTAAACATCACAGTTTCCACTTTCAGCTGCTTCTTATTTAGTTGGGAAACAACTATAGTCTGCAGCCTCTCAGAATCACAGATTTGGAGCATTTCTATGGGTCAACAGAGCTTTTCCTACGCTACGGAAACACCTTTTCAATCTCAATCTGTCTTTGTCTTATTGTTTCCAGGTCATCCTTTCTCCTTTCAGGGATCAAATTTCTGAGAGGACTTTTTATTCTAACAGCTCTAAATCGTCATAAGAAGAGTTTAGTTGGGCGTTGTTAGGCTGTAGCTACGGGCTTTGTGAGATACGTAAAAGAATCAGGAGCTTTGAGGTGAATCAAGTCCCTCCTCCTCTACCACACACTCTGATCCTGCAGTTTACCTCATACACCTCCTCACTCCACCCTCACCGGCATTTTCCTGCTCTGTGTTGAGAGCAGTCAGGTAAAATGATGACCGAATCTCACTGGGTTGCAAATGTTGGCGACAAGTTGCAAACGGCGTTCACCAGTTTCCAAAATGTCTCAAAACCTTTGCGAGCGTTCTTGATTTCCTTGCATGAGCAGTGCTGCTAGTAGAGCGTTTCTCTAAACGACCACCTTTTCCAGTAACGACTAATCTAACGCCTTACTTTTTCCATATCAGTAGTCAAATAAAAGTTACTTTTCCAAGACACAATGTGTTACTGGTTGCTGTAGTTTGTGTAATCGTTTCTGTGATTTGCAAAGATGGCAAACCCAGCGAGAGGAACAGTGCGATGCGCGACACCAACAGCAGGCATACTGTATTTAGAAGAAGCTGCATGTTTCGCTACTAAATGTCCGAACAGCACCGTGGTGCCATTTCTTGAAACAGAACCGCTACTCGTGGTGCAAAATGAACACCAACCAAAAACAGCACCATGAGAACACTGAACAAAAGACTAACAACATCCAACACAAACCTAGAAATAAAACCCCAACAAAACACACCAAAATAGAACAAACACCTGAAAACCAGCCACCCACAATGCACCTCGCCTGCTGCTTGTTCCACAGTCACTATAGTGTCACTAGTGACCCCGTCCACCGCGGAACAGACAACGGGCGAGGTGTAGGATGCTGGTTTTCAGTTGCTTTGTCCTATTCTGGTGTGTTTTCTGGTGTTTAGTCCTATTGTGGTGTGTTTTCTGGTGTTTTGTCCTATTGTGGTGTGTTTTCTGGTGGTTAGTCCTATTGTGGTGTGTTTTCTGGGGTTATATTGCTAGGTTTGTGTTGGATATTGTTTGCCTCTCGTTCAGTGTTCTGGTGTGTGCCGATGCCGTTCAACTTTTCATCAGTGTTTAACAGTAATCACGACTCTCAGTGTGTGCTTATGCTGGATGATAGCTGTTAGCATTCTTCTGAATGCATTGCATCAGCATAATAAAACTGATTGCTGGTTTTTATGTAGAGGCGATGGGTACAGTTAGTAGCAGCTGCTGAAGGTAATGAATAAAGTTATTTCTAATCTAACTTAGTTACTTTCAGTATATAGTAATCAGTAACGTACTTAAGTTACTTTTGGATGGAGTCAGTAATCAAAATACTATTTCAAGGTAACTGTGGCAACACTGCATTAGTTACAGGACCTCAACAATAAAATAAAAAATGTATTAAAAATCAATTAGTATTAATTGAAGTCAAACTCATGATTTACTTGTCCATCTACACTCCAATAAGTGGTTGAACTGTGCTTTTTTCATAGGAGGGGCCAAATCCAGCCTTAGAGATATGACGAGGACCTCCAGCACTTAAGGGGAGCTCATAGTAGAACTTCTGCTTCTCTTCATAGAAAAGCTTCAGCTGAGGTGGTTCTGACCTTTGATTAGGATTGCCCCCAGTTGTTTTTCTCTGGAGGCTTTCCAGGCTGTGAAATTAGACCATAGAATTCCCAGAGGGATACATTTTCTTTGGCCTTGGAACACCTGGGTCCTCATTTATCAAACATTCGTAGAAACTGTCCTTCATTCCTTCCTACGAATGAAATTTAGAATGTTCGTATGAATGACCAACATCCTGATTCATCAAACATGCGGTGGCCACTCGTACGCATGTTCCTGCACAATCGTTTGTTGATAAATCCCACTTGTGCGTACCCAGGTACTAACTTTCTCAGCCATTTACAGAAATACTCTCAATTAACCAGATTTGGTTTTTCTGGTTCTTCGGTTCTCGTAGTTGTCAATAATTAAATATGAACAGGAATCGGATATGTGCGGTTTGTCTGTTGCTCCCTACGGGTCCCAAATGACAGCATAGCTTCAGATGGACCTCCTTCAGGAAGCAGTATCTGCTCAGGAGTCATGCACTGTATTAAGCAGATCAGTACACCCATGGAGGACGCGTTCCCTCCAGAGAAATCGCTCTTCAAAATCCTCCAATAACACGAGATCAGCCATGTTACAATGTCAGGGTGTCTTTTATAGGTCCTAACACCAGTAATGTGATAAAGCTGTCTCTACAGACATAATTACTTATTGGGTAAAAATAGCATCTGGATGAGGAACACGTGGATGACTGAGACCTTCAGTATTGTCCTGTCCTACCACTAGATGCTGTTCGTACAGATGGTCAGAGCTGTTCTTGTTTTAAGAACATGTCTACACACAAGTACAAATTTGTAAATAGCACATGGTGTGTAAAATCGTCCCAACGCACAAAATACTCACAGATCTGGCGTAAGTGCGGTTGATAAATGAGGAAACTGGGATCCTCTCGAGCAGTGGTACCCAACCATTTTCCCATGAGAGCCCATACTTTATACAGGCATACAGTTATAGCTCTTACAACGTCTTGATTACACTAGTGAGTGTCTCATTGGAATTTTATAAACAGAATTTTTACAAATAATCTTTGTTACCTCACAACCTCAGCAGACAAAATATTGGGGACCCCCCTGCAATCTTGTTGGGGCCCCCTTGAGGGGGTTATGGATGCCACGGTGGATCACCAAGAACTAGAGATCTGAGACGATTCCAAGAAAGAAAAATCTAAAACTCAAATGTGTTAAATGGATACGTGGATATAAGTTGAATGGTTTCCTTTATGCCTTGAATGAGTTTGCTTTAAAGGCATGTGTGTTGTCAGAGCTATCGGGGGTCCCTACTCAGGACAAAGCTGAAAGGTGCCACTGGGGGAGGGGTGTCTTATCCGGGCTTCCCTTCTGATTTTGGATAAGTGGAATTGCGTGTGGATGCTGAGGATGCGGCCAGCAAACACAAATCTGTGCTTTCTGCACTAAAAACAAACTGGAGTGGCTTTCCGTATGAAGTGATTGGTTCTTTTAGAATCTGACCAGAGGTGATTATCACCTTCGATAAACCAATGTTAAGAACTTTTATGGCTATATTTAATCAGCTGGGGAATGAGGCGATCCAAAGGAAATCTGAAAAATCATCTTCCATAATTTACTCAAAAGGAGAGATGAAGACAGGAATGTTTTAGAAATCAGTTTGTGTTCCCTGCAGCTTAAACACTCGAACGAGGACAGACAATTTCAACTTCCACCCTCTCAGGATCTCACATTAAAGAGTTTTCCCCAAACAAACAAAAAGGCTTTAAGACATTGCAGTAAATCTGAAAAAAATAAACCAATTATCACACTTCAGAGGCTCCTGCACCATAAAGCTTTAAAACATTGGTATTTAATCAGGTATCCCAACAAACACGTCTTATTTTAGAATGAGACAGTTTCTCACCGAGGACATAATGAACAGAGATCTGACACAAGGCCATAAAAACACCACGCATGAGCCTGGCGGTCAACACCGTGGCTGTAATGAGGCCACATGGTGCAGGAAATAAGGGGATGAAATGAGAAGGTTACCTCCTTACTTCCCACATTAGGCTGGTGTCCTGGAGGGGAAACCAGCACCAGAGGAGATTAAAGTAAAAACCATGTTTCCACCGGGCTTTCTGATGACCTCCAACTCGTCTGACTCGATGATGCGCCCTAAGGTCTGCAGTCATTTGTGTAACAGTTATCAAATGCCGCTGCTTTAGTGTTGCATGTTTTACTGTTTTGGGCTACTTCTACTATTACATCGGATATTGTTCCTGACCTGTGGAATTAAACATTTTACATTAAATAATCTACAGCTAAAGAACAACCAGTCTCTTATTTTTGTCCCATAATGTTTTACAGCCAGTTAAAAAGCTGTTATTTCCCTTCATGATAGTTTGTTCCTCATATAAACAACAATTTCATACTTGGTCACATCTGGGCTGATTTGTAGAACATTTTGCTCATTTGTTGACCAGCATGGTTTTGTTTTTGTTTGATTTGCACCCACTTTGGCATAAATCTGATTTAGTGCTGGAATTAGACTGTAAAGGTTTTAATCAGCAGAAGAGGAAACGAGCATGTGTGGAGGCCTGTTAGGACCACCGGCCATCTCTTAGATATTTAATCCCGACTCCAGGCTGCTAACGGATCAGCTGTCAGATTTCTGTCTCTTCAGATTAAACATGATTTTTTTTTACCCCTTAAACGATAAAACTCATTCCTCCATCCAGAAGCATCACACACACCAGAGAGCCCAAAGCAGATTTTCACATTTTAATCACAAATCATCAGTTTTAAAAAACAACAGACAATCTTTAGGTAGACGTTGTGTCGTGTTGATTGAGACAGACGGGTCTCCTGATGTGGTGGACGTGCGTGTCTGCAGCTGTGGTCGGACAGCCTGTTGATATTTATGTCTGCTGTTTTTGTCTGAGAACGAGGCTTGGGACCAGACTGGCGGCGGGGTTGTGGCCTCACTGGGGTCTGCACTAAACCATCTGCGGCTTCGGTTGTTGTTTGAGCATAATTGCCATGGCAACCCACAAATGCTCATCACTGCTATATATCTTCAGAGCTCCTGGCGATTGTCCATCTGTTCGTCCTTCACTTGTCACGGCTGACGAGTCTCTGCAGAATCTACTCCCTGATCATGGTTTGATTCCTGTGGGTCTGCAGGTGAGCATCAGGGGGATTTGGTGTTCAGCACCTGAACGGTCTTACGGCCGTAGTGCCAGTAGCTGTATCCTGATGCTGCCGTGGTAACGGCTGTGACATACCTACAATGAGAAACAGTCTGTCAGTAAAACCATCCAAACGTTAGCTCTGTGATTCTGCTCCAAATGCATGTAAGCTAATAGAGAATCCACCTGTTACAGGTATGTAACTGATGCATTCCACCCTCTAGTGGCGATGTCAAGAACAACACCCACAATTCCAAATGGTAAAGAAAAAAATCCACATGAAGAAATATTTGAAACAAGTTAAAAGACAAATTAGCTTTAATCAGCTGCTTGTTTTACAGAAACTAATCAGGTTTATTGGAGGTGTTTTTGTAACGTTTTAAAGCTGAACCCCGTAAAAAGCAAAAACCTTTACCCTCTAGGAGAGGGCAGGTTTACAGCTCTCCTGTTTGACCTGGTAAATCACCCTGGAAGACTTGTTTCTAACATGTTCATGGCTCCATGTGTATTGTCACCAAGTTTATACAAACAGCTAATAACTAAACCTTCCCATCAGGGAGTTCTGGTGTGATGAGCCACATCTGACCCTGGTTTGACCTTCGTAGGTCATTCATCCCCTCTGCAGTAAGAGTGTATAACTCCTCAGTTTAACTGGTACTGGCATTATCCTGGTACATAACACCAATGCAATATGTATGTGTTTAGTACTTACGCAATACTGTAAGTACATAAGTATGTCTGTGTCCCTTATGCTGCATAGTTCTGGGAACACAAGTTTTCTTTTATTCGTTGCTTGAGACTTGATTCTGCTCCTAGATTGGAATCTCATGCGTACTCAAGTGGTCTGTTTTTGCTTTTTTCAGTTGCATCACCTTTTTAAACTCAAGCCTATTCTTTCCAGAACTCAGTTGAAGCGTGTACTCCATGCGTTTGTGATCTCTAGGCTTGACTATTGTAACTCCCTTTATGCTGGGATGGGTCAGATTATTGTGCTTAGGTTTTTGACTGGAACTAGGAAAAGGGACCACATTTATCCAGTGCTGAATTCTCTTCACTGGCTCCCAGTCTCATACCAGGCACAGTTTAAAGTTCTGCTTTTTGTGTTTAACTTTTCCCAAGGCAGTGCCCCCACCTACTTAGCGGAGCTGACCAGAAATTGCTTATTGTCCCTCGCACGTGGTGATCAGGCTTTTCAAGTCCTTGCACCCTCTCTTTGGAACCAGCTCCCACTCAGAATCAAACAGTCTCCATCACTGGCAGTCTTTAAGAGCAGGTTGGAGACTTATGTTTATAGGATGGCCTTCTCCTAATGCTTTTCGTGTCTGGGTTTTATTTTTTTGTTCTTAGCATTCTTTTAACTAATTAATTTTAAATATATTTAATCTAAAATTAATCTCATTGGCATTTTATTGTTGAAAGGTTTGTCCTGGGTTTGACTTCCTCTCGAAATTTCAAATTAAAACTGAATTTACACACTCAACCTGAATGTGTCAGAACAAGTAGCATTAATGTGCTCGACAG